AAAATGCATAATATGCATATTTTTCAAGATAGTAGTATATTTTATTCACAGAATGACATAACAGAGTGTACTAATTTTTCAAAAAAACTTGCACATTTAATTTAACATCATATTTTCTAGCATAGGTTTATTTACGTGTGAAAAAGACTGCCATTTATGCGATATGTAAAACCTCCCATTTAGAAGTTGATAGCCATCACACAAATTCTATGTCCGTTTGTAACAGGATAATTCTTTTAACTTATACTGAATTATTGCTAATATTATTATTGTTATTTGTTGTTTAACACAATTGAGTAGCCCATTCATTATTTTTGGCCATGGACTCATGCAAAAATTTTCCCATGCAAATAAATGGTAAATAAATGGCCTTGTGTAATTTCGGTTTTCGAAATAGTTGACGTAAATGCTCTGCGTTCAGAAAACGGAGGGAAAGCGTACTGTTGATAAAAGTGCAGAAAGCATAGAGTTATTTTCTGCCATAATTCTCATATATTAAAAAGAAATGACATTTTGCATTTTTCATTATTTGTATGGTCATATGATACATTTCTCAAAAGATAATTTACAGAATGAGTAATGATTGTAGAAGTGGAATAAGTACTATTAAATTTTGTAAAATGACAAATATGATTTTTATTAAGAATTTGTTATAAATCGTTTACTTGGAATAAAGAACAGCTAAAAAACTCACTTTCATCTTTCGAATAAACAGAAAGTAGAAGGCCCGGTATCTAAGAAGGCAAAAGAACACGACTACGGAAAGATAGCCAGCTTTCTTTACGATTGTTGTCTCCAGAGCCCTATTTATGCTCGTTTGCGGGAACATTAATACTGATATCTGCTCTTAAATAAGGGAACCTGAATTCATGGTGTGACCATATGAGAATTCCAAAGGAATAACAAAGCGCACAGTGCTAATTGTGACAAAATGAATTACAAAGAAAGGGAAAAAAATCTGAATAATTTTTTTGGCCACCACCAACTTTACAAAATGACTGTCTTTTCCCCACAGCAGCCGTCCATCAGCTTCTCAAAGTTAGGGTTAAAATGAAAGTGCGTCTCCTGTGCTGTGGAATGCCAGGGTCTTGGATAGAAAAGAATTCCTCTATCCGTAATGTGAATCCTGGGGATTCAACCGCTCTGCGGAAGAAGAGGATAAGTAAATGGCTTTTCACTTTCGACGGGGCTGCTGGGACATTTATCTTCGTAGTTTTTTTTTCCTTCTCCTATTTCTCGTGCTTCTTCTCTCACTGATTCCGAAAACTTTAAGCTCCGGTGTGACTTCTATTTTTTCCTTCCCTCTCTCTCTTCCATTGTCTAACTCTTAGGAGCTATTGAAGAGTTAGCCAGTTGGGGTTTTTGTACTTGAAATAACGCTTCAATATTTCCTAGAAGTAAGTCTTTTTTCGGAAATGGTATACAAATTTTAAAGTGCATTTCATAAATTATTACTAATCCTTCTTTTAGATGCACATCATATCGGTCTTTTGCACATGAGCTGTTCTAATCCTTCTTATGAAAGTGCCATCTGTAGAAATTAGAACTCTATCTTTCAGCTTACCTTTTACTCGTAAGTATTGCCAAGTTGTCGCTCTGATTACAATAATCTTATGCAAACACAGGTTTAAAATTCAAAAACTTAATTTATCTATTCTTGGTGGGTTACAACACAAATAAGAATTTAGAAATTTATTTAAAAAAATTGCCGATTACTGGCCGGCGATAACTTGTAACCACGCTAAGCGGCATGCTTTACGAGTACAATTGATATTAATCAAAACTGAGATCTCTATAACAAAACACTTTATTATCAGCTTATCAATGTCGCCCACACAGGACAGGCATTAGAGACCCTCACTACTGTACCGAAGGGCCTGGGATCGAATCCAGAAGAAAGCAGGGATGTCTAGCAGGCAATGTGTCAAGAAATGTGTCGTATAGTGTCAAGGAAACACTCTAAATACAAGGTGAGTGGGAATTCTCTCTAGAGGTCGGTGGACGGGGAGGAGGAATGAGAGATCCTCAAGCCGCATCCTGGTGCATTCTCAATCGAAACTGGGGCGAAACGTAACAGGTAACAAGGTTCGGAGACACCTAATATGCTTACTTGAATGCACAGATGCCGGTCTTCCTTCAACCTTTATCTGTCAGATAATCAATATAAAAGGGATTAGGTTAATTAAGGCAAAGGAACTTATCAAGAGCGATCTGTGTAAGGAGAGACATAACTTCGTGTAGGACCTTTTACGGGAAATGGAGGAAAACCATAAAACCTCCTATGCCAATTCACTCGCAGAGATTTGGATTATAGTTTACTAGCGTTCATTGATCTTACTGCTCAACAGCTGGTGGGACACTTACCAATTTCGAGCGGCGAGAGAAATCGACGAGGTTTTTGACAATTTTTTGCGCTTTCCATGTTAGTTCTAACTATTATAAAGTCAATTAAAGAAAAGAAAGTGTTAAAAATTAAGCCTTACTGTTAGTAAAACCTAACATAATTGTAAAAATTATCTAAGTGAATTTTACGTCTTCATGAACTTGGACACAATACTTTTAACATTAATAGATGAAATTCATAATTTAAGGACTTTTCAATTTCTGTGTGGCAACACTTGTGGCAAAGGTCCGGATTTCGATAGCATGGTTGATTTCCTCACATTTCACATTCCGTAAAAACCCTACTAACTGTACAATATCACCTGAAATCATCACCTTTCGGAAATGCTGAAGATATCCTAGTACTGTAAAAAATTTAAAGTATTTCTTAAGACTGTTACGCTGTCAGAATATGTCATTTTTAGTTTGCAATTCCTATTATATCTTTTTGTTATTAAATGCAAAAGTAGATTTCTCAATATAAAATGATTGGTTGACTAGTGTTGTTTCCATCAAGGAGTCAAACCAGCATATAAGCCATCAATAATGTTTTAATAGCAACAACAGTAGGAGCCAAAAGAGCAACCTCACATTCTTGGAGGGGGCTTTATGGTAAGCCGTTTATAGTACTTTAATAAGGCAGTGACAAAACAGTTCTAGGAACACTGAACTGAACCGGGCATAAAAGCCTGACATAATTATAAGTTCAAAATATATATATTATACGTTTATGATCTATAAATGCCAGTAAACACCGTTAGCTGTAATTAATTATATAAATTTCTTGTATCTTAGGACAGGGGGTAAAAATCACAAAATTTGCAAGTTTCTAAATTCTTTTTCTGTGCGTTAAACTCTTCCGTCTGAAACTTATTAACAAAAGTAAAATTATTGTAGTCTAACTAATTGTAAGAAGGAATATGTTGGATTGGTAGATTTTAGTGAAAAAATATAGTAAATTGCAATTGGAAACCCAAAACTTTTATGCCCAAAATCTCCATTTTCATGGAAAAAGTACATTCAAACTAGTTTCATGGGGAAAGAAACGTCTTAAGTGGCTCTGTTCTTATTGAAAATTGAGTAAGAATATAATTTCGCTGCATATATGGAGTGTATTCTCCATTTGTTCATGCATTTGTTCTCTTTCGAATGTGAGACCCCTGAAGGCTACCAGGCTTATTTAGGGGACCCTGTGGCTCTCCATGCGCTCCAGGCTTTAATATTAAATATAGGCATTCATATTTGTAGCATATGATACTCTCAATAAAATCCTTCACGAATTTATTTCTCCTAAAGCAGGATACCTCAAGTGAGTTTTGCAAATAAATAAATGTCTTGCCTGCGGCATACGATATACTTGAGAATATTTATATTTTCATTTTAGTTTGCATTTATATCAAAAAAGGAAAACACTTTTCTAAGAGAAAATTGTAACTTAAAATTCAAAATTTAACGGTTTGGTTTTCATGCTACTTAATTTTATTATTATTCAGAGTGAATTCACGAGTTAATAAAAAAAATGGAAAATAGTATCTCCCTAATAAATGGTGCACTTAAAAGCAACTTCGTGTTATTACGAATTTTGTACATGTGTAAAATAATTTTAGTCAAATTATATAGGAAACTTTAGTTTCTTTGTATAATGCAACATGAAATGCTTGAAAAAATGAAACTCTGCTCGAAAAATAAGGTTACAATCTCAAGTCTATTTAATATTGATGTAAATTATTACCTGATGAGATCTCGCCAATCTAGAGATGGTTAGAGCAAATAATTTTTGTAGCTAAATTTGGCGAAAAATCATCAAAATTCGTCAAACTTGGCGATATTTTAGTCCGGTCCTTGTTAATAAACCAAAACCTTCTAATCAATCAACCAAGACCTCAATCAAGATCATCTGAAACATTGAAATACTGTAACATTGATCATCTGAAACACTGAATTACCGCAGCATGCAAATGCAAAGAAGATTGCAAATAATGTTCACTGTTATGTAAAAGTAATGTAAAAATATCACTGTCATGCAAAAATATTCAATGTAAAAACTCTGTAAAAAGTATCTATTCAATAAATTATTTACACTGGGTGGGCTATTTCCGCTAGATATCAGCTTAGGGCGGAAGCCCTCTCAGTGGTGCAAAGTATAAAATCCGATCCTTGTATAACTGTAATTGTTACTGTAACTGAATAACTGCAATTGATCCCTATACCTAGTTGTAACCATGTCTAAAACCGAAGATGTGAATTTAATCGTATATACCTTCCAGTAATTTCGAAAAATAGAGGGTACTAGAGATTCCACTGTGGCCAAGGGAAATTATATAAGATCGGAGAGACCAGTCCCATTTGTGTAGATTAGTGTTGAGTTCGGAGTATTGAGAGATCTCTACGTATATGTATAATTAATGAGCACTTCTTTTCCATGTAACGTATCTTAAGTTCCATAATGTGCACTTATACTACACTGCGATATGTCTGTAGAGTTTAGGAACTTTTACTATTGTATGGATTAATATATCGAGTTGCAGTATTAATGTATAATGATGTATTAATTCAACATAACACCGCTTGTAGAGACATTATTTATTTGGAAGCAACAGAGATTTCAAAATGAACAACGCCTTCACCGGGAATCGAACCACGGACCTCTGGAATAAGCGTCCAAAGTGATCACCACTACACTATGAAGGCATGCTAAGACGGCTGGAGAAATATCTTATATACTACCCTTTTGAAGGGCGACTGGGGTTTTAGGTGACCCAACCACCAAATCCTGGATGTGGAGAACCATCATCATCCACTACCCTTTTAGTTCGGGCGCCACTGTAGGAACATTAGGTTATTTGGAAGCAAGGAAGATTGTAAAATGAGCAAAGCCTTCGTCGGGAATCGAACCATGGACCTCTGGACTAAGCGTCCAACGTGCTGACCACTACACTATGAAGGCATGCTAAGACGGCGGGAGAAATACCTTATATACTACTCCTTTAATGGGTGACTGGGGTTTTAGGGAACCCAACCGCCAAATACTGGGTGTGAAGCACCATCATCATCCACTACCCTTTCAGTTCGGGCGCCACTGTAGATACATTAGGTTATTTGGAAGGAAGGAAGATTGAAAAATAAGCAACGCCTTCACCGGCAATCGAACCACGGACCTCTAAAATACGCGCTCAACGTGCTGACCACTGCACTGCGAAGGCATGCTAAAACGACGGGAGAAATACCTAATACGCTTTCAGTTCAGTGTTTAATGCTATATTTTAAATCTTCAACATTCTTGAAAATGTAAAACGTACAATTACTAGGAAAAATACCACTTTTCGATGTAAGATATCTTTATATCGCCATATAATGTGTATAATAAACACTGATATTGTAAGAATACGCAATACGACTGTCCATCAATATATCCATCAATACGCAATACCATCAGCCACTGTTTAGTAATGTTGTTCTTCTGGACAGTTGCGAGATCCGGACAATACCCGAATAGGCAGTGAAAGCCACCCGGATTTCCGGATTCTGCTCTCACCTGTCGCCAGTGAGAGCTTCTCCTTTTAAATGCAATTAAAAGGATTTTGCTGTGCTCGATGTTCTTAGTAGATTGAAGTGTAACCTACTGATAGTGTTTTGTAATTCTGAGAAAAGCTTTGAGAGCATTTTTGTGAAACGTTCCAGAACTGAAAAGTGTTTCTTTTGGAAAATAAATTTCATCTAGCTGTCTTCGGTTTTATGTGCATTCAATCCATTACGAACCCGTACGCACGCAGCAATGCATTGTATGTATTCCGTGACTTCAATTATTTATTTATGTCTGAACTTTGTAAACTTATTGCTTACAATACATAATTTATTTTAATACTTTTTCTCAAGTATTTAATAAGAAAACGCTAATGTCACTTAATTCGATTAAGTTATTAATTTCTGCGATTAGTCAATAAAAGCAGCATCAAAAGAAATAATGTCTTACATCTAACTATATACTTCTTTAAACTTTATCGTCACTAGGAGATTAATGAACAAAATAATGTTTTTGATTATCCTTTCTAATAATTGGCTTGAAAAAATACCAAGAATAACGTATTAGACAGGGTTATTAGAGAATAATTTATTTAAATAAAACAAAACAATTATTTCTTTTTTTAATAGTAATAGAGCGTTTGTTAGTCGAAAGAATTACAACGAGAAACTTTAAAGGATTTAAAATAAACATTACCATAAAAAACGAATATAAAGTAAATATTGCACAAAAAAATGTAGTGCTTTTAAAAAGTTCAGATTAAAAAATTGTAGGATTCAATTTTTTTAAACCTTTGATATTTTTCACATTTTAAATTCTTTTACCTAGCCATAAAGACAAAAGCTATAATTACTCCAGAATAAAAAAAAATGCTAATAATTTTTTGCATGACCTCATTCGAGAGACTTATTCCTGTGTATGCTTTTATAAATGGATTTATTTTTATTGTATAACATTAATCCAATAAATATGGTGTCAAAGTAACAAACAAATAGTTTTAAATTTAATTTTACTTAATTTATTTTTGCAGTCTTCATATCAGGACATTTAAAGAATTTAAAAATGCTGTCAAACCTCTGTTTATTAAAAACTAGATCAATAACGTATCTCGGTGCGAAATTGTGTGATTATTTTCCTAAAATTTGAGGGATATTTTTTAAATCTAAGGAAATTTATTTCGTGAATATCCAGTGAATAAGTGAATTTCGGATCTTACTAATTTTTACTGTAATTGCAATTTTTTAAACTTTAAATAATTTTACGCTGCTCTTTTTAGGAATTTCCTAAACATAATCTGCAAAGTTGTCCTCTTCCAAAACTTAAAATTGGTGCATTTAATTATGGCAAAACACACGAGGGCTATCTGCCTAAGGGGAGGGGTGCCTTGGCGGAGGACTTTCTAGGGGAAACTGGCTCGTATTCACGTTACACATGGGAAAAACCACGAAAACGCCCATGCATCCAGCCCGTTCGCGGGATTCAAACCTCAAACCGAATTACCAGTAGTCAGCGACTTTACCGCTCGGCCGCTAGTGGGCCCCAAAACTTAAATTAGAAGTTTGAATTCTGAATTACCCTAAGGGTATGTTAAGCTTCTGGAATCAAATAAGAAGTCACTTCTAGAGGTTACAAAAGTTACTTCCGTTTTTCGCCATTTCCAACAAAATTTTGAGACGCGGGATGATTTTTTTTTTTTTTCAAAAAATAAATGAACACTACTTAATGAAGAAAATCTGCGTAGGCATGTAATAAAAATATTACGAATAAATGTAAAATAACGGTAATGAATAGTTTTCTAGATTTTGCTTGATTTAAAAATGCAATTTCAATTAGAAATGTGCAGTGAAAATTTTATTCAATTACCTACTACTTAATCGCGTTACCACTTCCTTTCTAGTTTCCATCCCTAATAAAATGTTAACGTAAGAATTAAGCCGAGAAACTGTTAATCCAGTGATGCGAAATTATCATGAATTTTCATTCCTTACGTTCCTTTTTCTTCTCCACCCTCAAATTACTTTTTAAACAATAACTGATGAGTGATAATGGTATATTTTTTAGTTGAGAAAATTTATTTAAATTTTATTTCTACTCAATTTTTGAATAAAATAAATTTTTACGCAAAATTTAAGTATTAATTTATTTAGATAAATTTCATGAACTTTTCGAATTAGGAAATATTGAAAATTTAGTAGATTAAATAAAGGAAATGTGTTTATTTCAGCATACTCATTAAAAGTAGGAATAACTAGTTTATAGCTGCTTAGCAATCCAATTTAACGTATGCAGAAAGAAATGCGGGTATCCATAACTGCAAACAACTCTTCGTCTTCTGAGCTTTCGTAACTATGTTATGTAGCATCGAATACCCGAAGAATGTTAATGATCCCATATTTTCCTAAGCGCACTCGGTTGCAACCCTCCAATAATAAATCATGCGAAAGAGAAGGTTGGAATAACATGTTATTCCTATGTTCCACTGATTCGCCTCTCCGGATTTTCCTGGATTCCAATATCGAAAAAAAAAGGAAGCTATATTTCCAGAATATTGAGAGACCTGTCATATTTTCTGAAACATTGGTAAAGTCTTGTCTTTGCGTGTAGCATTAGAATAAGGAAATATGAGATCGTGCAAAGAAATGCATTGATTCGGTGTGATAAAGTGTCCATGATTCCTTAAAAGTTTGAGATTAATAAGAGCTTAAATCAGTAATATTATTGCGTTTGTGTTTTAAATAATAAATGCATTCATACAAAACCCTTATTTCCTCAATGAAAACTTACGACACTTCGAGGATTACATAAGGAATTATTGCATTTTTCAATGTCTTCTTTTGTAGTGTAAGTGGTTAGCACATTCAGCTGGCAACTGGAAGATCCGCTGTTCGAATACCATGAGGGTACATTTAATTTCCTAAATTTACTGGTTCTTCCAAAAATAGTACAAATGTCTTCGCATTATAATTGCATTTTGGATAACTTTAAATGTGTGTGTATTTGAATTACGGCAAAGCACACTAGGGCTATCTGCCTAAGGGGAGGGATGCCTTTCGTGGAGGACTTTTTAAGGGAAACTGGCTCGTACACACGTTACACATGGGGAAAACCACGAAAACACCCATGCAGCCAGCCCGTTCGCGGGATTCGAACCTCGGACCGAACTACCAGTGTTCAGCGACTTTACCGCTCGGCCGCTGTTGGGCCCGGATAACTTTAAAGGTACCTAGCTTTTGACCAATTACATGAATTACTGAAATACAGTTAACTGTGATATGAATTTGAATGTTTTATAATTGATTGTTTATTATGATTTTAAAAGTGGGAAAACATAAAGGTTAAATAATATATATTTATGCTTCCTGTAATTAATGTTTTGGGGAAATAAAGGCTTCCCAGACGGGGTAATGATTAGTAACTTTGACTGCCATACAGAAGAGCCAAAGTTGGCCAGAATATCCAAGCCAACTTTGGGTTCGAATCCCAAAGTTGGTATGGATGTTTTAAATGTATAATGTCTTTGCATCATTGGGGGCACTTTAAATGTACAGCTAGCCTAATATCGTTTCGCCCTAAACAAGTTTCTCCCGTACCCTGCTCTGAAGCACCGGCGATCCCTACGTGGTGACCAAAACATTGGGTCATTTACCATTGAGTTCAATGGGATTTGACGCGTACGGATTGTAATATTTTTGTAATTACGTCGTAATATACATATTAAAGTATATATTTTCTTTTTCTACAAACACTTCAGAGTCCTAAGTATATGAAAACAAACATATTTTTAACAACATTTCATTCTGAACGGAATTAAAATGCTATACTTTTCACAGGACAGTTTTCTCAGAATGGTTTTAATTTGAATGAAAATAGTTTTCACAAGTTTTCGTTAATTACATTAGAAAAAAAAAATTAAGGTAATTCGATTTTATTCGGTTAAGGTACAAAAAAAAAATTAAGATCAAAGTTTATTGTATTATTAATATTAAAATTATGCATTATTTCTTTTCTATTTATAGAGCTTCTTCCTAAAATACTTTCTTAAATATGACATGATTTTTTGACTTCTGAGGCATCTTTTAAATCGAAAAATGTAAGTCAATTTATAATTAATGCTCTATTCGGTTCATTTTAAATTAGAGAATTATTAGGAATTAGCGAAATACTTTAA